CAATAAATTGAAGAGGATGTCATTATTTTTGTATTTTTGTTGGTCATACAAAGAAACATTATCATTGTATGTTTCTCTCTTCATAATCTTATTAGAAAATATGGTTTCAGTAATGATTTATTTACTCAATACAAGCAAACTAATATGTCGTTTCAAATTATATGGACCAAATATTTTTTTAAACAAAGATTGTTACTTTGGTTGTATATATTATATTTCAGCATTGTAAAATTAGAATTATTTAAATTTGAAGGTTGAAAAACTCTTTTAATTTTAAAAAATCGTTTTATTTATATTTTATTTTATTTTAGCAGCCTACAGATGTTAAAAAACAAAGAGTCTTTTTCTTGCAGATTGCAATCATTTGATCCACCATTTTTTTTGTAAATGTATGAAGATATGGTTTGCACACTAAAAACAAGTAGCATTTTAGTGGCTAAAATACTAGAAATTTTGAAACTATAACCAAATTTTATTTGAGACGATTTAAAATAATAAATATGTGGATTAATAACTTAAAAAGGTAACATATTTTGTTTCGTGTTCACATTTAGACAACTATGTTTTTTGTACATATTTAACCATCGAATTTTGTTGGCATGTTCAAAAGGATAATAATACATATAACAATCAACAATATTACTCTTTTTTTAAAAGTTCAACAAGTTCAATGATCAAATATATACAAAAAAAATATATCACCTAATAGGAACATGAAACAAAATATATTACTCTTTTAAGTTATTAGCACAAGGAAAAAACTAATTCATTTATTGTTGTAGTTTTTATTTTAATAATTAAGTGATATGATCTATGAAAATTATCATTTTAATTTGATATATTATTTAAATGAAATTCTAATTCTAATTAAATATTTAGTAATAGTTATTAATAAAGATGAAAAGTCCACTTTGTTGTTTATAATTAATAAATCTAACTTTTTTATCATAAAATTAAAAAAAAAAAAAAAACTAACTTTTTTTACCAACTCAAATTTTACTATGACAGAAAAAAGGTATTAATTCGAATATCAAATTAATACATTATATATGGTATACTTTTAATATATTATTCCATGTATAGGGAGTGTTACCTGCTATAGCAAAGTTGTTTCCATGCGTTGAGCATCGTTATTGTCTTCTTCACTATCTTGACCTTTAGTTGTTTAGATCTCATTTTATGGAAGTAAATGGTCGCTTTTGGTGCATAATGGTGTTATTTTTGGATTGGATCTTATTATGAGGATAGGGTTTCAGTTTTGGACATCCCTAGACCTCTATGTACATAAAATTGCTCACTTTATCTAGCCTTAGCCTTTCTCCATGCCCTAAACTTTGTACAAACCTTAGTTTTGAGTGTTTTAGCCTCTTAAGGCCTTCTGTGCACGTAAAGTTGGCAACTTTACGTGGAAACTACATCCTAGGGGGATGGATTTGTAGTTTGGAGTCTTGAATTTCACTGGAAAGGACTGAACATGAAAAGGATTGAAGGGACTCGACGAGTTGCTTAGCCAACTCACCGAGTCGGGCAAGGTTCGCCCGATTTTTGGATCCTGAGTGATCTCGGTGAGCTAATTAGGGGTTTCAGACTAGAGATTTCGGCTTAGAGTTTTCGGCCCTTGGACACTAAAGAACTCAATGAGTTCCTCGGGGAACTCGGCGAGTTGAATCGGGATTTCAGTTTTATGGACCATGAAGGAACTCGACGAGTTGCTAGATGCCCTCGACGAGTTGTGTCAACATGGACTGTTGACCTTGACTTTGACCAGGGTTGACCAAGTTTGACTGTGAGGGAATTTATGGTATTCCGGGATTTGACAAGTTAATCACATGTTAATTATAGGCAGTTAAGTTAGAGTTGCACGTCGGGACTTATCTAATCTTAGCAGTTCAACATTATTGAGAGGCGAGTCTCCTCACCATACCAGTAGGTCAAAGGAACCAAGGTCGGCCTATTTTGTGATATGTGGTACACTCGTTGTTGTAGTGATACTTTGTATGATAGTTAGTTATGCTAAGTGGTATGCTAGTTATATATGTGATACTTGCAAGGAAGACCATGGGGGAGCCCATGGCACATGGATGTAAGACCATGTGGGGGAGCCTATGGCTTTTCAATTAAAGACCATGGGGGAGCCCATGGCACCAGGACGTAAGACCATGTGGGGGAGCCCATGACATCCTGGAGTAAGACCTTGGGATGAGCCCACGGCATCCTTATATGTTTGTATCCATGGCTTATATGGTTTATGTAGCTTTTATAGATAATATGGATTATATGATTGTGTGGGTTGTGTGGGGTATGCTCTAGGGAACTCACTAAGCATTAGCTTACAATTTGTTGATTTGTTTCAGGTACTTCTGATCCTAAGGGCAAGGGCAAGGCTTGATGGCGCGGCATGCACTCTCCGGCATTTGATTTGATGGGACACTCTGATATTTGAAATAAAAGTTGTTGATGTTATGAATTTGAAAACTATTGTTCATGAGATTTGTGGTTTATTGGAAATGTTTTGACTATTTAAAAATGAAAAAAAAATGAAAATTGGGTCGTTATATGTTGAGCGATACAAGGCCAAACATGTGGCAAAAGGGTATTCTCAACACTACGGTTTTGATCATGAGGAGACCTTTTCCCCAGTGACAAAGATGACGAAAATTTGTAGTATGATTCCGGTTGCATCTGTTCAACAGTGGAAGATATTTTAAATGGATGTCAATAATGCTTTTTTGAATGGTGGCCTCCCTGAAGAGGTATATATGTCTCTTCCCCCAAGAATTAAGCACCAATGGAGTGAGGTTTTTCGGCTTCACAAAGCTTTGTATGGTCTCAAGCAAGCTCATCATGCTTGGTTTGAGAAATTCTCCATAATGATTACTTCTCTTGGATTTGTTCAAAGTAATCATGATTCGACTTCGTTTGTTAGATTCTCGAGTGTAAGACATATTATTTTGTCTTTATATGTGGATGACATGATTATTACTGGTGATGACCATGGTAGTATTGAGTCTTTGAAGCATGATCTAGCTCATCGTTTTGCTATGAAGGATTTTGGGCTTACTGCGTTATTTCTTGGGTATAGAGGTAGCTCAATCTAAGAAAGGGTATCTTCTTTCTCAAACTATATATATATATATATATATATATATATATAACTTGTTTACACGGGTGGGCCTCTCTGACAATTAGGTTGTGGATACTCCTCTTGAAACCAATGCACAATACTCTCCTACTGATAGTGTTCTTTTGTCCGGTCCAAATCTTTATCGGAGTATTGTACGAAGTTTGGTTATCTCACAGTTACTCGTCTGGATATTGCTTATGTTGTTCATGTTGTCAGTCAGTTTGTACTAGTCCTACCTCTATTCATTGGGGAGCTTTTCTCCGTATTCTGAGATATCTTCGCGACACTCAGTTTCAGACCCTCTTGTTTCCCTCGATGTCTTCTCTTGAGTTACGTGCCTATAGTGATGTTCATTGGGATGGTGATCATCATGATCGTAAATCCACCACTGGATTTTTTGTGTTTCTTGGAGAGTCTCTCATTTCATGGAAGAGCAAGAAACAGGACGTTGTCTCTAGATCTTCCACGGAGGCTGAGTATCGTGCTATGGCCGTGACTACATGTGAGATTATCTGCTTATGTTGGCTTCTTGCGGATATGTGGGTTCACATTTCTTCACATACTCCCTTGCATTGTGACAACAAAAGTGCGATACAGATTGATACGAATTATGTTTTCCATAAGCGGACGAAGCACATTGAGATTGATTGTCACTTCACTTGTCATCACTTACAGCTCGGAACCATATCCCTTCTGTTTGTTTCATCAACCTTGTAGCTTGCGAATATTTTTACGAAGCCTCTATCGACATCTCGATTTCATTTTTTGTGTGACAAACTCTCAATGTTTATCCTTGTGGCATTGTGAGTTTGAGGGGGGTGTTAGCCTATATGTTGTTAGCCCACATGTTTATGGACGTTTTAGCCTTTAGCCCATTAGGGTTTTCACTTAACTAGTATTTATTCTCCTCCTTGTTTTTAGCTTTTATGCTTTCTATTAAGAACACTTGTAACCTCTCCCTTTCGATTAGAATACAACTAAATTATTAAGAAATTGATCCAATTATCATTCTTTTCTTCATTTGTTTTTCTGTGGAGATTGGCCCCCTCGAACAAGGTCTTATCAAAAATCATAAATGACTTAATATATATATATATATATATATATATATATATATATATATATATATATATATATATATATATATATATATATATATATATATATATATATAAAAGTGACTAAATGTGTATGTGGGATAAATTTATTAACTTATAAGTCATTAACCATATGAATTTTTTTAGTAAATTACATTTTTGGTCCTTGACTACATTTGATCTTTGTTCTCTATTTCGGTCCTAATATGTTTTCTTTTGTAGGTTTTTGCATTTGTTTAAGGTTTTTGTAATGTTTTTTGTCCATGTTTTAAATAAAATTAATACTTTTGGTGTCTAAGTAATAACTATAGCTTATTTTTGAAATTTTGGTCCAAAAAATATAGTTATATTACTTAGAAAAAGAACAAAAATGTTACAACAATATCAAGTAATGACCAAAAATACAAGTGAACACTTTTTGAAGGGTTTAAATTATGTTGCAACAATACCATATATATAAGGCAACTAATGTATAAATATTTGGGACACTAATAGTTCCTTGTTTCTTGAAGGGTTTAAATTTCTTGTTATTGGTTATTTACATCAAAAACTTGAATTAGTCGACAGTTACACCATTCTTTCATACTCAATTATCATTACCAAATGTTTGGTCCATTTTTAGTACAAATTGTTGGTAATTATCATTTGTAACTATGGTCATTATTCATTACAAACCATTATACCCTGTTTGTAGCAGATATCAACAAGTTTATCAGCATAATACACATTCCATTTAATATCAAAATGGAGTGCAAAAAACCCATATTTTACCCAAAAATCTACAACACTCTACAAAAACTTACAACAAACCACATACACCTTACAAAGTTCAGATTTTAATATTTTTGCAAAACGGTAATATACTCGATCATCTTTGCAAAATAATAGTTTTGGATTTCGATTAAAATAAATAAAAAGCACATGGCAATTTTTGCATTTTCTCAATTATTGTATGGGCGTTCACACCCTTTTTCAGCTGGTCGCATAGTGAACGAAGCAGAAACCTCCAGAAATTCATGACGGTGGCCATCGCCCATCACCAATCACAGCAAAACTTATGGCCCGTTATTCAATAAAGCTCCCAGATCTCTCCCATTCGATAACTATTTGTTTGTGTCTTAGAGAAAAAGATAAAGTCCTTCACCATGAAGAATGAAGGAGGAGGTGGTTCAGGTGTAGCAAGTGCTGTGAAACCCACAAATTTTGCGCTTCTTTCAGAAGGTTGTGTGTCGTATATTTTATCACAAACCTCACCTCGCGATGTGGGTAGAGCTTCTTCGATTTCTAGGGGTTTCAAGTGTTTCGCTAATTCCGACGCTGTTTGGGAGCGATTTTTGCCGGCCGATTACCTGGAGATCATTGCTCGATCGGTTTCTCCGGTGGTTTACTCATCCAAGAAAGAATTGTACTTCCGTCTGTGTGATTCGCCGATCCTTCTGGATGATGGCAACTTGGTAAGATCCCTAGCTCTCATGGTTTTCAATCTCGCCCACCCGCTGTTCGATTATTCTACTCTTTGCGTATACTTCCTTTCCATTAACATATCATAACGTTTGTGAAATCGGTAAATATCTGGGCTCTCACATCTTCCTATTACAAGGACCATTTCTGTAGTTTTGTGAAATACAAGGACCGTTTATGTTATTTCGTAATTAGGCAAAGACCATTACATAGTTTTGTGGAATGTAGGTATCATTTCTGTAAATTTTCTATTAGGTAGGGTTATTTTTGTACTTTTGGTATTTGTAGGGACCGTTTCTCTTATGTCATAAACGTAATTAATGTAATGTTTCTAATCCGATTTTTATAATATGATTGGACACAGAGCTTCTACCTTAATAAAAGGAATGGGAAAAAATGTTTTATGCTAGGAGCACACGCGCTTTCAATTGCGTGGCAAGACACTTTAGTTTTCTGGAGGTGGAGATCTTTAACTGAATCAAGGTCCCCCCTTCCTTTCTCTCTCCCCGTTGTGTTTTCTTTCATTCATCAAGGTTGTTAGTTGTTCCCAAATTTATAACATTAACTTTTAAAAAAAAAAAATACAACAGAAATCTTTACTGATTTTTGTAAGGAATATGAAATTTTCAGGTTTTCAAAGGTAGCGGAGCTTTTAGCTGTGTGTTGGCTTGAAATAAAGGGGAATTTCAGAACAAAAATGTTGACATCAGCGACTAGTTATGCAGCATATCTTGTGTATAAAATTGGAGAGATCTCCCATGGGCTTGACTTCACGGGGAAGACATTGGTGAGACATGTTGGTGGAGATGATGATGATGATGACGTGGCGAAGACTACTGTTTACTTGAAACCACCAAAAACGGGTGGTGGTTTGCAGGATGGGTGTAGAGATGGGGAGGTGGTGATGATGATGGGTGGGGGCCCACAGAGGCGGGTGGATGGGTGGATGGAGATTGAGTTGGGGAGATTTTATAATGGTGAGAATGAGATTGATGATGAAGTGAAGATGTGTTTTATGGAGACACGTGAGCTTCATTGGAAATCTGGACTCATTGTTGAAGGTATTGATATTCGGGCTATAGATTGAAGAAATTAAGCGGGTTGTTATTGTGATTCATTTGAGTGTAAGCTGAGAGAAGGGTATTTTGGTCATTTCAAATGGCTGCAAAAGGGAAAGCCTAGAATAGAAGGAAGCCTTGAGGTTAGAAAGAGCTGGATGAAAAAAGAAGCAAGCTATCTATATATCTAATGATCTCATAGCTTTCAAAATTCTGAATGGGGTTTTGAAGGAAATTCAATGAATTGCACTAAAAGGAAAATCCCTCTTGTAATACTCTTACTAATGGAAGAAAGCTTCCATGCTTTTGGATTGAATCTTGGATTGCGGGTTTTATTAGCATGACTATGTTTGTGTTATTTTATGTTTTTTTTTTCAATTTGTTGGGAAATGACGGTTTATTTTAGAGGGAAAATATGTTTACTAGTTACTTTTTTGGAGGAGAATATGCCGAGATAACTATCAAATTAAAATGATTTTCCAAAACACAGATTTGAGGATTATATGTTCGTTTGAAAATCTGAGTAGAATCCATAGATACTATCTTAGTATATTATTATGGAAGCATCGAGAACACTACGACAGTAGTTTGGTTAGGCTACCCGGAGTGGACGTCTATGAAGACGCGTGATGCTGATGTGGCATGCCTGAAGACGCGTGAACACCGCCCCAAGGGCCGGTGTTCTTGGTGTGGCGTGAATCGGAAGACGGAAGAAGACGGAGCTTTCTATTGGTTGCTTCTTTTTTGCCCCCTATTTCCGGTGGTTTTGCTTTTAATCTATCGAATTTGAAAAAAAAAAAAAAAAAAGACAGGGAGGAGACCCGTTTTACAGAGAAATCGGGTGAAGAAGACAACGAATTGCACATTTTATATGATTTAATTCAAATTACATACTTGGTCCCCGAGATTCTGGTATTTAATCTTATTATACCCTTTCACTTTTATTTGAATTATGTTAAACCCTTAACTATATATAATTAATTATGTTTATTTACATTAATAATATGTTTATTTGAATTTTTAATTAGTAAAATGATTACTTATGTTTATAATTATGTTTTTTTAAATTTAATCTAATGTTTTAAAATTAAAAAAATAAAAAATAAATATTGTTAGTGGTGACCATTTTCAAGGTTTAGTGGGTTGGTGGTGGGTTGGGTGTGAAGCTGACGTAATGCATAGGTGGCAACACTTTTCCGGTGGAGTGAGTGTCACCACTCCCGTAGCCTTATGATTCTTGAAATCCCCCGAACAAACAGAATCCATATAGATACATGTGGATTGTGTGTTGTAACTAATGTTGAGAAGAATAAATATAATATTACATTAAAAAGCTGAAAGTGATGTCACGTCACAAAAAGAATTCATGCATGCGGACTGGCCTTTTAACTACATTTGTAAATCCATGCATGAATGCATCAACATTAACGTAAAGATAAGATAATATCATCAAAACATGTCTACTATGCCAGAAAGACAAAAGATAATATGAGATTTGATTTTTCAGAATAGTTAAGGGTGTATTTAGTTGCGGAAAAATGGACCGTTTTCCGGAAAAATTTTCCAAGAAAAATGAGAATTTTGAAAATGCGTTTAGTTCGTCTATTTTTCTAAATTTTTCACGGAAAATGAAATTTTTCCGTTTTCTAAAATTACAAACAAGTTGGAAAATTTTGGAAAACTGATAATCATTGTTTTCCATATTTTTCTAATTCCAAAATTTTTCTATAAACACACACCCACTTCACCTCATCCACTTCTACCTACCCCCACCTTAACACCCCTCACCCACACACACACATACATATCCACCCCCCCACACACACACACACATCAACCCACAAACACACACACATATACACACACACCAACCCACACACACACACACCAACCCCCACACACACATACATACCCACCCACACACACACCCACCCGCGCACACACACACACACCAACCCACACACACACACATACATACCCATCCACACACACACCCACAAACACACACACATACATACCTACCCACACACACCCACCAACATACACATGCACACACCAACCCACACACACACACACACACACACACCTACAAACACACACACTTTCACATACATACCCACCCACCCCCCCCACACACACACACACACATACACATACATACACACCCACCCACACACACACACACACACACACCACAAACACACACACACACACACCA